AATTACAAACAACAAAGGACCCAAGTTAGAGCCTTGAACAACCCCACTATTTACAATAAACTCAAAAGACTTAAATCCACCATACTCGACGAACTGCCTTCTTCCCATAATCATTGATTTTAATAAGAGTAATATATTATCATAAAATCCATACATTTCAAGTTTTTTAAATAGTACACAATGGTTTACACGATCAAACGCTTTTATCAAATCGGTGTATAGCACATCTACCTGCAAACCATCATCTAAAGCAGTAGACACAATAGAATGAGAATATATATTGTTGGATAAGATACATTCAAATAGTTTTGCAAAGTTTGATAATAGTGCTATGACCCTAAAGTTTTGGATATTGGACTTATCTCCTGCTTTAAAAACAGGATATATTTTTGATAATTTCCACATGAACGGATATTTGCATGATTTTAACACTAAATTAAAAATATAACATAGCGGAACTAATAAATAACGAATACAGTCTAAAACAAAAAACGCAGGTACATTGTCAGGACCAGCTACTAAGTTGGGTTTAAGTTTCATCACAGCTTCTAAGATATCTGCTTCATTGATAGAGAATGAATGTAGCACAGCACTGATATCACAGATGTTTTCTAGTTTAAGAGACGTGCAATGATCATTACCACAAATATCACAAGCATTAAGATTATTATCACAGCTATTATTTATATCACAGGCAAATACACTATTATCACAGTAAATACTCGCAAAATTAGTTGCAAAAGCGTTGACAATATTTTGAGGAGTTGACACAATACTATCACCAAAAGTCAATTCTGCTGGTATTGTAGGCGATTTTCGTTTGGCTTTTACAAAGGACCAAAACTTTTTAGCATCATGTTTGATGGAGTTTTCGCTGTTTTCAACAAATCTTATACTCGTATATTCCATGCGGCTTTGCCTCCTTATTTCCTTCCTAAGAATTTTGCCTCTATCTAAATGAAGTAAAATTTTCGTTTTACGATATAAATTCCACTACTTTCTTTTTTATGTTATTTTATTAATAATAGAACTTGTAAACCATATGGGGTACTTGGCACGTTTAGAGTTATAGGTAGTTCTGGGACTTCTGGGTACATATTGATCAAATAAATTGTATATTACTGAATAAAAATAGTCAGTTGCAGTATCTACTTCTTTGATGTTTTCAAGCTGTGACCAATTAACAGATGTTAGCGCTGCATACAAGTCCGGCAGGTTGGCTTTATAAAAATTAAATTTTACTGCATCTGAACTTTGATGGAAATTGATAACTTCATAGGAAGTGTATGATACAGACACATCTAGCGATGGGTGATGTAAGTCCTGTGGTACTAGGGGAAGTTGACTTGATTTACAATTAACACTGAAGTGATTAGTTGACAATACCACATCTAGTATCTTGGAGTTTACGTTGGTAATTTTGTTGTGCTGTGTAATGTTGTTTAAGGATATAAAATTAGCATAAGTATTGACCAAATGTGTTGTACTATTTTTACTCATACATTCAGTGAGCTCTGAGATATTCAGATCCCCCAAAATAAGTGAAGGGTTCGAAAAATCTATCTGATTCTCTAAAACTTCAAATATTTGAACATAATTCACAACTGAATGTGAGGGCGGAATATAGATGGCTACAAGAGTTATCATAGTGACCTTAATGCAAATTCTGGCAGCAGCTATTTCAATCTGAGGTATGGGAGATGTTATATCTAATGTTTGAGCTGGGTATTTACTGCGATTAGGACACCTCCTCCCCTTCCACATCTTCTATCATTCCTAAAGACATTAAAAGTGCTTTCAGAACTCAAAACATTGCTATTTAGCCAGGTTTCGGTTAGAACTATAATGTCGTCATCAGATGCACATATATTAGTATAAAAACCACTTACTTTTGTATTTAAATCCCTCACATTTTGGTAAAAAACGTTAAAATTGTAATTTGATTTTTGTTGGACGTTGTTGGTAGTCTGTTGGATTTTTACGAGTTTTTTTTTCTCCACCTTTTGGATCTTTGGTATTCCATTTGAATATTTTAAAATTATATCATCTTCACCCTGTTCTCTGCTAGTTTTAAATTCAGACCTTATCATATAATTTTGATTCTGCTGGCGTCTAGTTAAATCTCTGTTGAGATACAATTTTTCTTTGCGGATATACCTACTTTCGTAATGTTTCTGTCGCATACTGAGGATTCTCAAATGATATTCTAAGAGGACGAATTCTTTCATTGTTATATTTTCCTAACCGACAACACGATATAATTTTAATTTTTTCATGTTCACCAGAGAATATGGTTTGACAAGCTCGGGATGTATCATTCTCATTACGTTTGACATCAGTTTCTTCATCCGACTCAGATAAATTAAAAAGAAATAAAATGTAAGCCCTCCGATTTCTTTCCTCGACCTCTGTGATTAGTTCTTCAGCGGATAGGTTGTCATTATCAGAACGAGCGACATTTTCTTGGTTGTTTTTCATTGCCTGCAGTTCAGATTTTAGCACATCCAAATCACTTTTTAATTTACTAATTGGACAGTTAGACATTTTATACAGATTATACACAAACTTAAGGTTACTTGAATAATTACACAAGTGTCACAATAAAAGTAACGGCGACAAAAATACGCGTATTCACTTCTCTGCTCACTATAACATAGGACTTTTCCAAAGTATCAATTAAAAAATTTTGGTACTTATTATGTGCTTAGTTGCCATTTTTAACTGTATGGAAATAAAACCGATTGTATACAAATACCTCTGTAATTTGAAATCAATTCTTTATCCCCAGATTTGTGTATTGGAACCAAGTAACTGTTTTCCATAGATCGGGAAATTTTCCAAAATGCAGAAATAAATTGAATAAATAAGTTGTCGGTTTAGTTATGTTAAAAACACATATGGAATTAGAAACTGCGATGGAATTAGATCAGGACCAGTACTGGCCGAATTTTTTAAATTTAAAACGCTGTTAAACACTTTTTCGGTAAACCTATGAAAAGTAAAGGAGACCTCACCTGCAAACAGCTATTTTGTTAAAATGTATATTGTCCGGATCACTATACAGTTGAAAAAACTGAGCAAATAAATTAGCTATTGATTCTTGCCCAACGGCTTCCTTACCATCAAAGTTCATACGACTTGGATATCCCAGATTCTTGTTTTGATTTTTCCAGAACTTCCACAAAGATTTCGAAGGATCGGAGTGTATTTCGTCCTCAACTTCCGCGATATATTTCTGATAACATTCATTCGATTTGTTTTTACATAAAGCTCTAACTCTCAAAAACTACATGCAATCCCCGTTTTCACCTGTTATTTTATATTGTAATTTCGAAATGTTCGAAATTTTTTGTTCGGTACTAAATTATGGATTACGTCATAAATTAAATTATAGAATGTGAAAATTGCCTGATTAATATCTTTGTCTAAGAAAATTTCCTTCCAATTGATTCGGCACAATCGATAGTTAATTTCTTCATAATCAGCATTTTAAAATTATGATATACCGCTTCATATTCTAAATGGTGTTGATCTAAGTTACAAGTAACCTCAAATTCGTAACTGGAGTGAAAAACTGATTCGTTTAATAGGGGCTTATGGGCATTAATTGGCTGTAGGTCCATAATATTGGTAAAAATAAGATCTAAAAAATTGTTGAATCCATTTGGTATTAGGTAAGTTATAATCTAGAATATTTTTAGTAATGTCACATTTTGACAGAACTTCCCTCGCCTTTGAAGTATGTTTAAAAAATTATAAAATTAGATTCTGCGATTTTCGTTTTGTGATAACTGTTAACCTTTATAAAGTGGCGTTATTAACATCTTCGCAACCCCTAAGAGAAAAATGTAGACAATTTCAATTTCCCACTATAAATGCTTAACTTCGACTGTTTATGATTATACTTCGACCGAATTCGACTACTAGCTCAAACATCAGTGATTAAAAAAAAAGAAATTTGGTCGATTTTGTGTCCTCCACTCAGAAGAAAGGGCTGATTGATTAATTCATACTAAGTTTTTTCCCAAAAACACCCATACATTTGAAGAAATTCGGCAAAAATGTAAGATGACAAATTTTGATTAATTATTGTTTCAAATAATCTTAATCTTTGCGTGATTTCACAACATTCCGTTTTTGTAATTTCAAAGTTACATTGTAAAATATTGTTATACAAATTGGTTGATTTTTTTTTTTTTTAATCTGGATGCTAAGGGTAAAGGGTAAAGACTCAAGACGGATTCATAAATCACACATGCAGGAATATGTTATTTTATAAAATTTAAAGATCATTTGTTCGGCAGAATTATAAGATAACATTATAATTTTTTGGGAAGGTCTTAAACGAACAAATTTTGTTAACCATTTATCATCTTTCCTATATAACCTTAAAACGTTTGCAACATTTCAGTAAAGTACTCCAAAAGCTATAAGGTTATATGACCATCATAAAAGTAGTTGACCGCAAATAAATAAATACCCCCTTGGTTCGCACTAAGCTTACCTGTTGGCAATAAATCGTCTTCTAACTATTTCTTTCTTAGATTTATTGTAAATTTTTGAAAGTTTGTCTTTGATGGTTGCATTCTCCCAGATAAATTTTCAAAAATCCATGGCTGCCTTTGTTCGTGTTTTTTTTTTGTTCTCTCGGTTTATAGGATTTTAGCCCCTTTTTAACGATTTAAAGATTTTTCGTGTGCCCAATAAATGATCTAGAATTAAAATTTCGCGTGCTACCAACTGTATATAATTAAAGTAGATAGTGGAATGACAACATAGTTGTCCATTTATTTTATTTAAACAGCAGAATACCGAGATTACGTGATACCCCATTATAAACGGTGACTTCATGATCGTCGCAGTGGTCTTTATTTGCAGATGACAGTTCAGTGGTTTAGTTTGTTTTGTACTTCTAAACTGCGTATTTGCAATCTTTTATTTTCCGTAATCCATAAATGTCCGGACTTGTAATTTAGGTAAGTTTCGTAAACAAAAACGCCTGAATCTTAATAAAATATATTTTTAAATTTAACATAAAAAAACAACTTTATTACATTATTACTAATAAAATGTGTTAATCCTGCACATCGATTACTATCGAACAATAAGGCAATGATGCATTGTAAAATTTTCGTATACCAACACTTTAGGCAAGTTTGGTACAACTTGTTAGAATTGCTAAAATATAATATTTTAATATATTGCATAAAGAAATTGGTTGCGCTTAATTCTAAAAAGTGTCCAAAAATAGTTCACAACAACTGCCACGGCTGCATATGATCACATTTCTTTAAAAGCACAATTTTGTACTAAGTAATTTAGTTGCCATAAAAAATAAAACAAGAGTTTGTTTTTACCGATCGTTCGAACAATTCGATCACTAAACGCAAACTCTTCCTTAAAAACCACAATAGGCCCGAATTTACACTCCGAACCTACCATTAAAATTTATAAATAACAAATAGGTACAATAATAAATAAAATTATCACTTATACATCTTGTGTATGTAAATAAAGTACAGTAATTATTACTAATATAGTTTACACAATAGTGGCGAACTACTTCTTAATAAGAGATCTCACTTTACTAACACATCGGTCCATGAAATTTCGTTTACGTTTCGAATCACTGGAACCGCTTTGTATCGACACCTTATCGACATTGTCTAAATTATTGTCCATACTTTGCGACTTTACACTATTTACTTTAAATTCGTCTTCAGTCTCTTTATCTTTGTCTAAATCGTCACAACTTTTCGTGGTATCGGACGGAGTTTTTTCAGTTATAGTTGCGTTTGGAGCTGCACTTGGTGGCTCTGAATCCAGGAGGCCATCCAAACTACGAGATCGGTTCGGGAGTGGGGGCTTTACAGCCAACCCGACGGACGCCACTGGAGTATTTGAACCTCTTCGAGTGTACGGATATTGCGGTGGCAGTCCACGTGGGTATCTGTTCGTGTTCATAATCCAGTTCCGCGAAGGACTAGCTGTCTTATAGAACCTGTAAATAAGAACTGAACTTTATGTTAGTCAAAGGGTTTGTTAATAGAAAAACGGTATGTTAAGATATCCGGGACGAAGCACCATGCCGTGGCAGGGTCATGAAACATGCAAGCCACCGCCACCAATGGATGGGGGGCGGTCATGCGCCAGCGGGAAGAAGTACCAGCATCATTTTGGTTGATAAAATTTCAAGCTTGTACTGTATCCCGAGCGCCCTGTACGAATGATGCGTCACCCCCAGAAAAAATCTGCCTTACCTAGGTAGCGGAGTAGGAGTTCCCGAGGCTAGGGGACCATCTAGTCAGTCCCTCGGGTGCCCCGTGTTCCCGTTGACGTCCTTATCGGAGCCTTTGCCACTTCCGGAGTCGTTACTGTGCATTCTTTGGTACGTCGGGGGCTGTCGTACGAGGCTAGGGTTGGCTGGTGTCCCAGGTGTTATGTCGCCTTTGCCGAATTTCAACCCGTCGGCGCTTCGAGCGTTCAGTTCCCCTCGCATGAACCTACAATTCGAGTCAGAAAACTCCTTCTACTTGCGAATCGAGATCGTACCTTTCTAATTTGTCCACGCAAGCGTCTTGGTAGTCATGAATCCACCGGACTCCGTTGAAGTGACACACCTGCCGCATGTCTTCAGGTAATTCGTCGGCCTCCGGCCACTGGAAGTTGTCGATGATTGGAATAATGTTGCACTGGGCTTGTAAAGCTGCCACGATTTCCTGTGAAGATTAAGGTTAGCGCTCGTTTGGGTACGACTCGATGGTACTTACTCGATGAACCCAGTCTTTTCGTTCGGTGTCCCCTCGACACCTCTCCAAAGCGTTAGGTGTGAGTACTAGTAAGAAGTGTTTCGCTTTTTGAATACTTTGTAACAAGTTGTTGTCGAACTTGCCCGCTTCTAACCGTTCGACGTCGATGAAGACGCTGAAACCTCTCAGTTGTAGATGGACTTTGAGTAAACTAGCTAACTGGGATCCGTTAGAACGTCTATAACTAACGAAAACGTCTAACGATTTGTCCAAGTTGTCTTCGTTTAAATTCGCGAGACCGTTCTCGAGCTGCCTGATTCCTTCCATGATTCGGAATCGATGGATGGAATTCATAATACCGCACTCGTTCAACAATTGGTCCTCGGAGATGTTGCGCAGAGCTTCTTTGGTTTCGACGCCCGCATTGAGCAGACTGTAGGTGTAAATACTAAACTCCGGACCCAGGGCTTGCAAAAATGTGTTAATATTCGCGGTATCCCTCGACGTATAGTCAGCCATCTTCTTCAACTTTTGTAGTTCTCGCGTAAATCTGCAAGCATCCATGAATACCTGATGTTAATTAGTAGTACCGATGCCTTACCGTTTTCGTTTAATGCCATTCGTCAGCCCGATATCTTCCCGGAGATTTTCCTCGGTAAGCTGAAGCAAAAGATCGCCGTCAACACGGCTTTCTACAAAACTAGCAGAGTATTGAGCAAACCCGATTTGTTTGACCCATTCTTCTACATCTTCAGCCGACCACAACGGCACTTGTTGGCTTAGCTTATGTGGTACTTCCTCCCCGATGAGTCTCAACGCTTGCGCTGCATACTTAGAAGCGACAGCATTCGGACAACTAGCCACCTTTTTCAAGGATTCAATAGCACCGATTTCGGCAAAAATATTCGTGTTCCCCTGTTGCTGCTTAATGCCGGCCTCCATGCAGAAATGGAAGGCGGCCAGATTCCTAGCCTCCTCTCGTTTAGAGCTCAAAACTGGCACCAAATGCTCCAGCCACGTTTTGCTTTGACCGTGTGCGTGAGCCAGGTTGGATTTAGCGAATTCGGAAGGGTTATGTGACGTGACGAAAGGTTCCACTAGGCCCAAAGTACCCGACTGGAGCACCTGGGCTTCGATTTCCGGGTTCGCCACCAGAACGGTGATGGCCAAACAAGCGTAGTACTTGATATTGTCGTCGTTGTGGAACGCCAGAGGGAACAACCACATGGGTACCTGCCTCTTGATCATGGCCTCTTGGTTCTCGGCGCCTCCGTATAAACTCAGGTTGGCTAAAGCTCCGGCACAGTGACGTAGCGTCTCGATGTCACTTTTCCTGCATTCGAAAAGGAGAGCGTCTAGGCCACCGAGTGAGACCACGTCACTACAGGTTTCTTCACTGTGTTTGAATAAGTGTTCGAGGATTCCGGTACCAACGCGCGAATGAGATACCGAGTTTGCCACTTTAGTACACACACAAGCTACGTTGACCACTTTGTCGAGACCGTGTTTGACCACATGAGCCCGGTTTTCTGTTGTGAGGCACTGTTCTAAAAGCTTCGCGCTGGAAAATTGCAGGTTCGTGTCGGTTTTCGTACAATTTGTGATGAGGAGGTCTAAACCCCCGCAGTTTCGTAATGCATTGCAAAGGGAGTACCCCAGCTCGTGCCCATGTGTAGGTACTGCCCAGGCTTTTTGCATTACGTCGTTAATCTTGTCGAGTATAAGTGGAGCGTTCGTCGTGTCCGCCTTCTGGAGGCATTTAACTGATTGGTCCAAGTAGATGGAGTACTTGTGGATGGCTTTTTCTACCTCTTGAGGGTTAGACGTGGTCGAGAGCTGCTCCAAATCCTCGCACGTCATGTTCAGGATTTCGTCCTCGTTGGTGGTCAAACGGAACTGCAACGATTGATATTAGTACGGGATTGGGAGAGTAAATGGAGTTAGTACCTGTAGCATGGAACTGGCAGCGGAAGTACTGATTCCTTTGGTCGTGGAGGTGTACACTGAGTGACTAGACGAGCTGTGCTTCTCTTGATTGAAGATCCCACTCGGAGTGACCGTTTGCCTCTGCTGTTGGCTTTCCATTGCCGTTTGCTCGCTGGTAAATTTATCCGTAGTGACTTTCATGTTCGTGTGTGCCATATTTTTGGACTCCTGTTGGCTCAGATCTCCGGCTTTCAGCGATCGGGCTTCCTGCAGAAAATTACAGCGTTACGAACATCACAATTTACATGTTTTGTGACAGGATGCTCGAATTAAGCGGTACTAATACTGCTTTCGCGCATATTCAAGCTAGGAATTGTTACCGTTAACACCCCCAGCCATGTTCCTCGAGAATTTTAGGGAAACAACTTTCAACACCAGCAGCTGCGGCAAAACTGAGCAAGGTTAAGTATGGTGAAACTATAAAACCATTAGCATCAGTACGTAAATAGTTTCAAGGAAAGCGTAATCATGGAAATCTTTTTACATTTTTTTTTATGTAGAGTTTGAGTTTCGGCTTAGGGGAGCACAGCGGCGTGTCACTCTGTCCGGTGCTTTTGAAGGCACCTTTTCTGACAGGCCAAGGTGCAGACATCTTGCGAGCACTGCACTGTCACATTTGGGTCAAAACCGTGGTAATTGACGAAATTGATCAGAACATTCCGAGCGGAGGCGGTGTGGTGTGCACACGATATAGACCTGACTGACAAAACTCTATCAACTGTGTAAAAATACGGAATGGGTTTGGATAACTGCCATGTTTTATTTTGCGATTTTGTTCCTGCTACGTATTAAACACTGATGGGTAACTAACGCGGAATTGTAACAATTGTGTGTTTTAGAGAGGCTGAGAAGAACTGACTGGCAGCCACACAGAAATGACAGATCAAATACGAATATCTTTTCAAAATAAACAAGAGTTTTTCGTGTGAATCACATGAATATATTTTTGGTCACCACTTGAACCTTTTATATAAATAATTATAAAGATAAATATAGCCAAGATACGGTAATTTATGACGCACTCATATATCACTTGTAGACGCGCTCGTTTTTTGTGATAAGGATAATCAACGTTTTGTGACGCATTTACGCTGTCATTGTAGGTGGAAAAATTTAAAGGTGTGCGAATTTTCGGACACTTCTGGAATTCATCAGTGAATTAGTGCGGACCGTTTTATAAATATTGATCTAATGGCGCAATAAAATTATTTTAAATATCTATCTGAGCTTTAGGTCAAGGCAAATTTTTCAGAACGCTTATTTATGGCCCACGACAGGCATAAAATATGTTCGATAAATTTACATTTTTTCGTGCGCTAACATCAGATGTCAGTGTACTGAGTACCACTTCAGGACATGACTTAAGCTGTACCGTATTTTTAATACCGTTAAATAAAGTTAAGTGACGCCTAGTGTCGCTTTAGTGAACTAATTTTAGGCAAGTTTATCTGCACATTAATTCAAACAAACAACGTACGAACTAACAAAATGTGGGTGAGGCCGTATGCCACAAACTTCGAAAAAGCATCATCCCTATATAGAAACACTAATCTGTCAATTATTGCCAATCAGGAGCTCTTGGTTTAATCCGAGTTAGATTTGTTTAAATGTAATAATAAAAAATCTTGTGGCATTTCATTAGTTCTCTTAGTTGATAACGTGTGAAAATGGAACAATTCTAAATATTTTTGTGTAATTTTTGAAAAGAATGGAGAAATGATTATGTCATAATCATAAGTCGTTATTAATAAATTCATCATGATGTGATAGGCAACACGTTCTGCAGTATTTGCCCTCATATGCGGACCACTAACTTCCGGAATTTATTGATAATAAGACAACGAAATAATTATTTTTCCAAAAATCAACAACGTAATAATTTTTGAAAATTTGTACCAGTCACAGCTTACTCGAACAGTATGATTTGTCTAGTCTGTCACTTGACTAAAAAAAAAATGCCAAAGTGGCCACCGTAGAAAAAGTGCGTATGGGACTAGTGCAACAAAAACACTTACTTTTAGGTCAACATGAATGAACGACTAATATGCAACCTACAACAGCCAAAGCTTGACGAGATGACAAATATAGTGCCCACCATACCCCGTTTCAGAAAATAAGCCCAAGGCTAGTCTTAAGACCGCCTTTATCGACCCCTCATACTGACAAGTCACATCGAACGCACCTTTCCCGTAAATCTTGCGAATCTACTCAGTAGTCGTTTGTCAGCCACGTTTTCAAAACACCTCCCACACCCTATGACATTTTTCGAATTTTTGAGAAAAACGAAAGCGACACGACTCATCGCGTGAACATCGGGGCCACTGAGGTCACCGATCGTCCCGACGCTAGTGGCGCACTGGTTTTATCGATTGCAACTACCAAAACATGCAACCACTGGGACCATTTTATGTGGGTGGTACAATCGCGATAAGATTAGCAATTATTGTGCTTTGTTTGCACGTGATTTACCGTGAAAAGGAAACGATCGATGGGTTCGGGGGTAGCCGGATTTTTTCGCGCAATTTATGCGCTGGCCATTATGGCAGCGGTAATTATTTTTATATGTCTCGACTATTTACATTTATAATGCGGCACACCTGAGAAGGAGTGTTGCCTCAAGTGACCTAAATAGCAGGCCAAGGTTTACACGCAGCTGAAGGGTTAGTCTGGAAAAAAGTGCTAAAGGCCGGCTCTGACCACTCGACACCGACGGTCCTCAAAAACCCGGGTGCGCTTTCACATTATAACACAAAAATCGTAGTGCACTTTATGTGAGAAATTTCGTTTTATCTTGCTACACAAGGATTCTCTCGGGCTTCATTTTCTTTCTGATGGGAGAACACAGCAAGGCCAAATTATGCAACCGAGGATCGAGGAACGTCGTTTCTCGGTTGTTTAGGTTGAGATTTAAGTATTACCTTGGCTTTCATTTGGCTTTTTTCCGCGGAAACGCCGTCTACTTCCAAGCGGGCTCTGCTGGCAGCAGCTGCACTGTTTTCCTCGTAGGAGAGATCTCCAGCTTGAATTTTCTTCATTTCGGCACATTTCGCGCTTTCCTTTTCGGCGCTGAATCCGTCTTTCACGACCTACAAGTTGAATACGGTTTTGAAAGTAAACGAAATGAGTTGGGTTTAAATAACAAACAGCTAATAATTATCACTAATTTATAGCGGCTGTGGCCAATTAGCCGGACGTTACGAAATATTTATTGACGACTGTAACAATTTTTTAAATGTCGATTTGTTCACATATTGAAGAATGAAATATTTACTTACGAATACGACAATGTGCATTATGTCAAAGTGGGGCATTCGCTATAATAACAACTACTTGCACTGGAAACTTTTAGTGAACTGATTTGAATAAAATGTTGATTGTTTACTGGCTTTATCCATCTTTTCTGAAAAGTCTATTTACTCGTGGGCAGCGACCCCAAGATAAACCGAAATGTTTACTGACAAATAGATTTTTGGGCCGTCTCTCGATTTTAACAAAGACTTTGTTTTGGATGGACTTCTGAAGGCACCTTTTGTGACATTTGCCTGGACCAAAATTTACGATACCCTATTGTAAGAACATAACGAGCGAAGTCTAACTTTCTAGATGCCACTTTAAAAGTAATAAAGCGGATGTAATGATGACGTCTAGATGATAAGATTCTTAAACACAAAATTGAAAATATTTATTATCTTAACGTGTACTTGGCTTTTATTTAAAAATTTGATGTTGTGAAAAGTCTTTCTTTTGGTAGCCATAAACAAACCGACTTTGTTTATCTACTTTGGTTTTGGTTTCTAAAGTGAAGCATTAACCCAGGCATAACGGATTTGGTTCCTAGCGTTGATGAACGGCTCCAAACGCCTAATTATGCTAATCCTATCAAGTAAAAGGCTTCCATAAATTGTGCTAATCTTGACAACAATTTATAAGTTGCCCATAAAATGACTAACCATTAGCCAAGGGGGGTATGAACTTCAGACTTTCAAAAAACATGCCGGCCAGCTTTAGCACCGTCACTTTTTACAACTATTATTAAAACAATCGTCAATTCTAAATCTTTCCACGTCATTTGTCTTATCAACAAATATTCACTATTTACGAGTGATATGTTTTCAATCGCCAATTTCATTTATCTTTAATCTTAGCCACTCGTAAATATTTCCAATTACTTATTAATCTGTCACCAAAACACGAACTTCCCGACAGCTCACATTCCCCGAAGCGCAATTCGTTATCAATAAATCGATCGTCATTAAATAATTCGGCGCTTCTCCCACGCGCTATTTATTTAAAAACAAACCGTCTAAAATTGAAACCTTTGAATCACCGAACAACGGGAATTTCGAGAAGTCATACCTTGGTCTTCCTGAAGTTGTTCATGGTCTTCTGCTCGAATTTGACGGTGTCCACGGCGTTCGTGGGGGTGCCTATCTCCGACGGCACCGGCGTGTCGTCGGGGAAGGTCACCAAGGGCTGGGTGATCTCCTCCATTTCGTCGTCGTCGACGTCGACGAGGTTCTCCAAGGAGCTCTTGAATTGCTTCAAGTTCGATATGCTGCTCTTCATGTCGTTCATGTTGTTTTTAAGTTCGACGAGGTCTGATTTCATGTTAGATGCCTTCAGGTCGGAAGAAGTCACGTGGAGTCGTTGGGTGCTCGTCGAGCTGGACACGCGGGTCGTTGTCGTACTGGTTTGTGAGTTTGTCTGCAACTGAATTTAAAAGGTCCGTTGATGAGACATGATAGTATTTTCAGTGTTGTGATTCTAAGTGTATTTATAGATTTTTGCATCGAAACGTTGGACACAATCCAGTAGTTCCGACGAAAGCGAACGGTTACTTTTGGCCAATTTTATGGTACACATTGTGCCCACGAATGTGGGAGAGTAAATATTTGGGTGGAGGCGACATGAAGAATAGAGCATTCGCGATAAAAACAACTTGGGTTGGAGTATAAATAAATAGCGGCCAAACAATATGCGATTAGAAATAGGTGATAGATAAATGCGATTATTTGGGAGGACTTTGACTTGGCAGTGGCTCTCAAAAGAGAGGTACTAAAATTGTGCTGTAAGAAGTTCACGGATGAGTAAAAATTTTACGCGGAAGTCTATCGATTTGTACACATTGCACTGTGAGTCACGAGCTTTGGTCACTCCGTCTACCTCACTGCACTCAATAATTTATCTTATACAATCTATTTTTTACTGGTTCGTGCGAATACTTGTTATAATAGTTCGAAGGAAAGTGTTGCACGGTCTAATGGAAAAACCACCATTAATTGAAGTCAAGAAATTGAATGCAGGAATTCAAATAAGTTATTTTTTCTTTAAATGAAAAAATCACTTTTCGGTAAAATCTAAAAAAAAATCTCATCACATTTCTAGCATCCGTCATTTTTTAGATGAGTAGGTAGTTCCATATTAAGCCTCTCGTTACATAAACTAGCAAACCAAATAATGACATAACATTTATATTATTTACTGTTGAAAGTTGGCGCACTGGCGCGATTGCTTGGAACTAGATTTAGGACTGAAAATGAAAAAATCAAAGAAAGAAACAAGTAAATACACCGATACTCTTAGTAGCTATCAGTTTGGAAAAAACCTGTCATCACTTGTTTCTGTTGTGGTGTTGTTATTAATAACATCGACTTTATTAATGAAAATATTTACACTTTTTTCGACTGTTTAAATTAATTAAAAGAAAAAGCTTAAAACAATGAATGAACCAACTATCAACTTCATTCTCAATAGCGTTAAAGCTTTTCACTCTAGGTTATGAGGTAGGGATTATTTTTTCAATCCTTTTACGATGTTTACATTTATTATCATCACCAATTAACTCCGGTCCAAACTGATAAGAGTACCTGTTGTAAACTTTGTATAAAATTGAGCTGTCCATTTTTAAATTCTAATTTTAAAATCCATGCAAACAGAAACAAATGTGAACCTGATTAAGTCAGAAAGTAAATGTGCATTAAGTAAAGAAGTTAAACAACGGCGGAATTTTATATCGCAAAAATTTTGCAATATTATGATTTTGCAATAGTATGAAAACCGCATTTCTATAGATACGATTTTCTAAAATATGTCTCATATTATTGTTATTATTTACAACAAACCTAGTAACGGACCGGAGTTTTAAAGTGTGGGATTAGTGAACGTCCGACCTGGACCGGAGTTAAGGTTCTCCGAATTGGTGTGAATATTCAAAATATTCACATAAAAAGGTCGCAATAAAAAACGAACCGCATTATGAAAGTTTCCAAACCATAACATTTTCTGTTCTCTCTAGGGAATTTAGGGAATACCACTGCCGAACCAAAGAAAAATTACTTTTAAAGGTCTTGTATGTCAACAGGTTTTTTCATGGTTTTTCCAGTGTTAATTGCACTGAACTTTTAACGTGTTTGACGTCAATTTTTTTTGTTACTAGATTAGCAACATGATAATTTATTTAAAATTTTTTGCAGGTCAATTTTAAATTCGAAACATGTGTGGCTGTTTTTTTTTTTTGTAAATGACAGTCACATAAGATGTCGAGTAGGTTAATTATTAAATATGTCATTTGAAATTAACGCTTTTTTCTGTCTGAGTGTTTGAACAACTACAAAATCATCAATGCCTTCCATTTTTTTATGAATTATTTAAATAAAGACTTCAAAAAAGTCTTGGGTTTAGGTAGTAGAAAACAAAATTGTATTTTCCATCATTTTTACTGATAAACACTTTTCGTCATTTATCACTACATTGGATATTACCAAAAAGCGTAAATCATCTTAATCTTCTGTACACAATTCTTCCGATAAGAAAATGGTTTGTTCATGAAAAGTCTTGCGATCGAACCCTACGGAAAACCAATCCACATATTTATCGCTATCATTTTCTTTAAGCCGCTAGCTTTAATCACAAAGACTGTGATCTTTACTAATTTCGGATTAATATTATGATATATGACAGTATGAATCAACCTATTTTCACTAAATTTTGCCACGTCTAAGTACACCTATGTTTGTGTATGCGGGTGGCGAGCTTCGCTCTCTCTTATTCCTGTACGGTCCTCTAGCCTATTTTAGTTATCTACTTCATAGATGTCAAACACAAGTCACTTTTCTGAGAAGTTTCGCCCCTCAGATAAAAACGGTATAACAAACTTCAGTTTGAAATAGAACTGCCACTATTCACAGTAGGCAATACTTTTTTATTTCTACATGCAAAACACAGATTTCTCTTGCGAAACTATTGTGTAACAACGCGCACTAATTTTCGGTTCTCCGAAGCAAACACTCTACTTAATTAAAGGAAGCAATTATTTTACCTGCGAGGATGTGGTAACTGTCGACCTTGGTATATTTTTTATGGTCATCATCGTAGGATGTTCATTTCCATTTGCATTGTCGACCGACAAATCCGTCGCCATCTGTAAGAGAAAAACCACTATTACATCTCCGACAATACATCGACTGACGCCCGAGGATTTTTTCTAATCGTGGGAAGAGATAAACCGATAAGAAAATGAAGGAAAATTCGGGTTTCATTGCGATAAGACTATCATGTAACGGAAAGAAAATTTCGAACTTTCTTTCAGTTTACCAATAAAGGAAAGTGCATCGAGATTTGTCACCGCTTCGTCGGTTTGCCGAACCGGATATCCTTAGTCAATCAGCGAAGACGTGATGTTTATCGTGCTTATCGTTTGTTAATTCCAAGCTGAGGATTAAGGATTTTTGTGCGTCAATGTTTTGTGTCCGGATTGTTGACCTCATCGTGGCAAAAAATTCGATTGGTTTATGAAATGGATTAGACGCAAGGAAAGTACGAGGAACGTGAGTACTAGTTTGTATACGCTATCTGTTGTGCTTAGTAATCCGTTGATTACACAAACGATTAATAGCTGATGCGCGATGTCGTACTATCTTATTTATGTGTTAATGATGCGATTATTACAAGAAGTGCTCGCGACCTCCGATATAACAAACTATTATTAGTAAAGTGATGTCACCGAAACAATTCATGAGTTACGTATGAATGAAAACGTAATCCTCGCGTATACATGATGTCACACATTGTTTCATCTTTAATCTTGTATTTACTGTTTTTTCCAACGCGTTATTTGTTGTGGGTGTCTTCTTCCTCGAACGTCCTTCATGATCAAACAAGTTAGCAGAATCAGGTAGCGCAATTTGTTCTATCAACTGATAATGAGATTGACGGATATGCCACCATCAACCTTCATGAATTAGTCTGAATGAGGATAATGCACACAATCACTTCATTAGACAAAAAGCTCGCTTTTGGGCAATTCCACCGCGGAGGCCCCGCAAGGGTCGACATTTCCAGCGCGAAGTCCCACCACGACAATCAAACTTATCAATTAGCTTGTATTACAAAACTTGGCACATTCTGATATTTTTGTGTGTTTTTAGGGAGCATCTGGTCGCACGCTCTGCCAAATTGTGACGTTCGGGCGAAAAATACCCCGGTTGGTCGTTCGAGCCGGATCGCGAGCACAATACACACTTCGGTACGGCGAGGAGCGAAAAATGCGCGGAATGTCATTGCCAAATATTTCCCAAGATGTATCAATTATGGAAGAATTTCGAAATTGCCCTCCCACACCGCGAAAAATTTCGCAAAAGGTTATCCACGCGGAAAAACATCATACCCCTTCCTTCTGCTTGAAGAAGTTGATCCGGTCCCTAACGCTAAGGTTGGGATCCCAGGAATGGCGGTACGAATAAGGTCTGATTGTGGAGTGCATGTTGAGCGCGAACATTGACCAACAAACAATATTTGGGCACACTTCACATCGCGTCTGCACGGTCACAGGTAAGAAACTCAACTGACGTTATCTACCTGCTCTCGAAATTCCAAGTGTTTGGAGTTATCTTCCTCGATTACGATTCGTCAAGACGTTATCATTAAATAGATGAGAATTACCTTATGAGGTTTTGCGGCGTGACACTGTTACCACTGCATTGTTAAATCGATCATTTGTAAAACCGAGCAAGCCATGACTGACTGGAAGTCAGACAGTCATGTGTTTATACAAGGCCGGCTGGATCGCGAGCACCCACGGCTTACTACGATGAATGGTAGAGCATTGCGATTATCCTGATTAGAGCACGCAGGATTGTTTCCGAACCAGAAAAAACCGAATGTTGGCAAACAATAGCGCGCCGGCGTGAGTCGCGTTTATGAATTCTTGGATTGTCACGGTCGTAAAAGCAGGTATGCTTGGAATGCCAGCCTGAAAAAGTCCCTAAATTTGTTATGTAAGGTAGCCGAACGTACATAATCGTAGTATTTTTAGATCCTGTTATCAATGGAGAAGTGACTCATACGCAAGTAAGATGAATGAATCATCCGGATTCCACGGATTGTTTGGAGGAGTTCGGGTTTGACCAGCTGATTGACCTGGCGGTTATCCATTCGGACAATTAACGATTTTTTTTACATAAAAAACCAAGAATGACTAAGTCTTAACGTTTACACACTTTGGATGATGAATACTGAGCACGTTTTGGCAAACCTGTTTGCCGACAAACGTTACGAGAATTCGAAAAGCCGTTGAGAGACGGCTCATAACCGCCGAACCCTTTTATTGTATTGGATATTCGCAAGTGACAATTTAATTTGATTGGTTGGATGGGTTTGTTGTTGCTACTTGTTAACCGTATCTCGAAACGCTTGTAACCATATCTCGGAACCTACTATCTTGTCAGGTTTCTGTCATACACGTTCATGTAACTTTTTGGATAAGCGATCACTGTAAGTAACGGTGATTAGTTATCCGCATTTAATTACTGTGTTACTTCGAATTACAAATTTAGAATAGATAGGATTTTCACAAATACAAGATTAACATCAATCAAGTTACTTAATTACATATTCTATATTATCAATATTAATAATGTAAGATAACAATAAAAAAAGAAAAAAACGTAAGGACTGTATTAAAAAAATGCACATACACATGTTTTCTGTAGTCACACAAGCAATTTTTGTGATGTGTTTTAATGGTTTCAAAATGTATTTCCGAATTTCGAAATTTTTAACTTTATATATGTACTGGAAAATAGTAATTATCACCGTTATGTAAGTATTAGTTCGTGAGCGTAAGCTAAGGCGACTTACCACATCTTAGACTTTTGGAAAAAAAATCCAAATTTTAACAACACACAATTTAACTTTGAAACTGCAATGCTCTGAAAACTTGTAAACGCTTTCCGGGTACGACACCCATGGTAAATCCTAAAGCAAAATATATTCATTTATCCCCTCCCTAAAAATTGATGACGTCAACTCAAGATTTTACACAATAAATATTCTCTGACGTATTCAAAATACTATGACTATATACTTGTGGTTTATCAATGCACTCATAGCTTTTAGAATTATTTATACAGGCTGACTCAAAAAATTAATGAATGCAGTTTACTGCATTAAATCAAGAACGACATTTACTTTAACTTATCTTATAATTTTTTAAAAAATCTGGATTTACCTTCGACGAATTTTTTGATACCACAATTTTTCGTTCTTTCAACTTTAAATTTTTCAATTTCTCAACTGCCAAATTTTGCAATTTTTGGTATCTTCAATTTTTTCAATTTGCAATTTTTCGATATCACAAGTTTTCATTTTTTGTTTTTTCCTTTCCTTATTTTTTCAATGTTTCTTACGATTTTATAATTTTTCGTTAATTTAATCTTTCAAATTTTCAATCTTCGATTTTACAGTTCCCTGATTTTCCAATTTTTCAATTTTGCAAATTTTGTATTTCCAGTTATACCCAATTTTCCGATTTTCAATATTTCGATTTTATAATACATATTTCGTTTTTTTGATTTTGCTCTTTTAGGATTTTTAAGTTTTTTCAAAGTTTTCATTTTATATTTTTTCGTTTTTGAGTTAAAAAACTGAAAAATCGATCTGTAAAAAAATAATGAATCTAAAAATTGGAAAGAAGAAAAAACGAATCGAATCGAAAAAGTGGAAAACACGAGAATTGAAACATCGAAAAATTACAGAATCGTCAAAATTCCAAAGTCGGAAAACTGTAACAGTGAAAAATCGAAAAATTGAAGAAATTTTAAAATTTAATTATTGAAAAAAATTAAAACTAAAACCGTAAAATTGAAAAAATGGAAACTTGAATTGAATTTTTGATTTACAAGTTTTCAAGTTTTCATTTTAATTTTTAAATATGTATGTAATTTAAAATGGAAACTTGCAAACTTGCAAATCAAAAATTGAAGAAATCAATAATTGAAAAATCATGAAACCGAAAAATTAAAAATTTAAAACTGAAACAACAAAAAATTAAAAAATTGGAACACTGGAAAACAGAAAAATTGCAAATCGAAAATTTGAAGAAATGAAAAATTGAAGAATCGAAAAATTGAAAAATTAAAAATCTAAAAATTGAAAAGCCGAAAATGAAAAAGTTATAAAATTCAATAATTGAAAAATGAAAAAATTCCAACATCGTAAAATTGAAAAAGTGAAATATTTTAAAATTATTATTATTACTACATATTTAAAATGAAAACTACAAAAATTGCAAATCAAATTTGAAGCAACGACAAATAGAAATATCTTAAATTAAAAAAAATAAATTAAAGAATCTAGAGGTTGAAAAATCGGAAAATTGAAAACCGAAAAATTACAAATTCAAAAATTGGAAAATTTCATTTTTAAGAAATAAAAATCGAACAATGAAAAATCGAAAACTTCAGAAACTTAAATCGAAAAATGGCAAAACCTTCTCGGGGGGTCTAAATTGTCTTTTTTTTAAATGTAAAACCTTCTCGGGGGCCCCAACTGTAGGACCTGCTAAGATAAGACTGACTTTGGAAAATGGCATACCTTCTAAGAAAAGAGAGGGTGGGTGGGCGGGGCTAGTACCTGGTAAGATAAGACTGATTTTGGCAAATGAGATACCCTTTAAGAAAAAAGAGGGCGGGTGGGCGGTACTAGTACCTCCTAAAATAAAATTGATTTCGGCCAATGAGATACCCTCTAAGAAAAGAGAGGTATCTCAGGCGGGTGGGGCTAGTACCTGCTAAGGTAAGACTGATTTAAAAATGTAAAACCTTCTCGGGGGCGGCAAATGTTTTTTTAGAATGTGTAACCTTCTCCGGGGTCCGACTCTCTTTTTATAAAATGTAAGGGGCTCCAAAAGTCTTTTTTTTTAATGTGAAACCTTCTCGGTGGCGCCAAATATCTTTTTTTACGATTGTGAAACCTTCTCGGGCGTATCAAGTGTCACAAAGTAAATTCCGCAAAATCAAATTTTATAATTTTTCGGACAAGCAGTATTTGTTGGAGTGTACTTCCGAAGTGAGGGACGTTCTGTCGAAATAATTTTCGACCATTTTTTTTTACATTTGTTCATGTTGATAAATTAACTCCGGTAATAAACGGATGTCCAGAAATTCCAAAACACCACAATAAATTGTCATTAAAATCAAATTAATAGTGCGGTTGCCGTGTGGCGTGACGTTTAAACAGTGATCATGACGTTTGACTAACATTCGTCATGGCATCACCAGCTGCTAGAAAACATAAGCGCTGACACACGAGTTTTTGTCACGAGTTTCTCTGATGCCAGATTTAAATGATCACCCCGTACATGAGTTAACGTTTTAAACACCTGTTGATTTATGTCCACGACGTGTGTACTCTCGAGGTAAATTGCCGCGTTAGCGGCTCTTTAACATGTGGACAAACTGCACACGAAATTGATCACTTGGTAAAATAAGTTTTGTATAATTGCCAAAACGTAAAAAACAAACGCCTGGATGTCTCTCAATGTCTTTCGCATTGTTCGCTAACAACACATAAATTTCATTGAGATTTGTGCGAACCTTGAATTTTAAATTTTTTGAGGGAGTGTGCGTGTGCGTGGGTCGTCGGCGACAACTCGCGTGTTCTTTGATCAACTGTTTTAGAATTTGCTATCTACAAAGTCCGGATATTGCTTTTCGGGGCTGCCGCAAGCCACACTACTCTCGTAAACAGACAAAACAATCAACCGCCATGAAATCATTCGTTCGTAAGTCCAAATACGTTTTTCGCCAGAACAAATCAGGTCATGACGACGGTTGATTCATGCCGGTTACAGGAAACGCTGGAATTTGTATCAATGGAACTGCTTTACATTTGATCAAAAACAATAAATAATTCATATCTGCGCTGCGGAGTGTGGAAACGTGGGCGAAAAATTAGCATTTGGTAATGTTTGATATAGTTATTAACGTTCGCCTATTTTCACAACACACGATCAAAAACGACTAAAAATCCCGGTGATTCAAAATTCCGCTAATCATTTAAACAAGCGTACGAGGCATGTTTGTTGTAGGTGTCGATATTTTTAAATGGGTGCCATTCATGTCTGCTATTCAAACTCGATTGACCCTAATCAAATCTGATCAATTGATTTTAATTGATTTAGTGGCTTGGAGCCCGAGAGTTATGCGTGTAGTTAATAAAGCAGGATCTGTTATGAAAAAGTGACTGGTTTAGAATTCGGCGTGTCAAAACGTATTTACGCGTTGAAATATTTCATAGGCCAGATGTACGGCTTCCAAAAATTCGTGACCTATTTGATTCAACCTGCGTCAACGAGTCCTTCGTAATCCCGTGATTTACTAAGCCCAGTTCGTGTTTTTCTTTGATCCGCATTATTTGAAGTCGGTTGAGGAAAATAAACTACACGGGGCGCCATTAATATGTAAGTACGTGTGGGCGCAAGCTGACAGTTAATTATGAAAGCCGATTTTATTACATTATTGTTCGTACGTTTCACTGTCCTTGTTTGGTTCATTTACATACATGTAATTATGCGGTACGGTTCAACGGCTAAAAACAAAACTGGAATTTACTCAATTTGTCTTTTAATACCTGATAAATTGGACACATCACTTGCCGAGACGAATCCCATTTGATGTTGCATTAAGTCAATTAAGCTTCACATTTAACGCAGGAATTAAAGAAGTCGAAGAAATGCAAACCGGCTGATGTTTTGATCCAAAAATAAACAAGTTGTTACGCGGAAAAGAAGGTAAATTTTCCTTTTGCTATCGCGAATAAAACTTTGACCTCGGACATCTGTACGGTGTCTACTGTTACCAACAAGACTTCTATAATTTCACCCCGTCAAGCTGTTTTTAAGCAGATTAAGGCAATTTACGTTATCGTCTCCGAGGCACAAGCCACAACAAATTGCTACGCAGGATGGCTAAGCAGCCTCCTAGGGGAAACCCGCACCAGATGAGCACACTATTGTACACTTGTAACCTCAAACTATTTTGAAAGATTTCCAAAACACGATTAAAAACGTGCAACTCATCAAACTGTGTTCAATGTGTTTCGGAAAACCTTCACAATAATTTATGCTTCTTTCACGCCAGAGATCACGATGATTACCGCCAGTCATTAACGACTCTCTAACTCAAGTATAAATAACTCCTGAAATAAGTTTTTAAAGCTTTAAAAAATGTTTTTCTGTTCAAGGTGCAACTTACGTGCTCCCGGCGATCTCCATCACAAGTATTAAACAAACACTCGTGTTTTCCAGTAAGTACAGTTAACATTTTTTCAAAATAAACTCGTGGTAAGTATAATGGGGCGTCTGTTTTGGATCAATTCCTCATAGATAAACTTGTGTTAGGACTGTTTGTTTAAAATTTTAAGTGTGCAAATAAATACTTATTTGCAGAAGTCAGTGTGACTGTACGTGCACTTCCTGTGAGGTTGAATTTTTCGACTGAAAAATTAAAGTTGCTTGAACTAGATACTCGATAAGGGTTATATTTCGAGCAAATATTGACATCCAAAGCAACAATTCAGTCGGGTTCACTGGACTACAAAGTAGCGGATGTTCAAATAAAAATTCGCCTGGTTTTAATTAGTTTTGGATTAATTGTCTTCAACAAACCAAAATAATTTACTACCGTAAAATTGCATAATTTGAAAAGAATTATTTCTGTAAAGAACAAAAATCGTCCGTTCATGTTACGCACTGTTAGTTTAGTCATTAAAAGTAGCTCATTTACGCTCGTACTATTAACAAGAAATTAGTTATTCATCGGAAATCCTGAATGAAATGCTATTTCAATATAATTAAACTTTGATTGTGGGTGTGAAGTATCGTTTCCCGGAAAATTATAATGTATACTTTTCAAAAATCAAATCGTAATTGGTTTTAACAAGCAACAATTAATAGATTATTTGTTTTGCATAAAGTGGCCATTAAACTTTCTTCCAGCACGTGACTTGTTTTAATCGTTTATATCTGTGACAACTACATATTTATAAAGTGCCAGTTTAATGTCAAATGAATTTTAATGATAATTAAGAACGGAATTATTAAACCACAAGATAGTAATTAAAAATTAGCTACTGATCACATTTTAAATTGTTTTTGCTTTAGAGCAGTTGACTACAAAATTTTTAATTATCACTAAAAAATTATTGACGCCAACGTAAAATACTGTGAAGCTGATTTTGTATTATTTAAAGAAAATTGAACCTTGAAGGTTTATAGTTTAAAAATCAGTAATTATATAACAGACTTGTTTTGAAGTTTTAGTGAGATAATAGCATTGATTCAGAGATTACAAAACATTAACTAAACGTTTGTTTATTCATCGCTTCTGAAAATCTGTTTTCCTTTTTGAGAACTGTTTGTCGAGCAAATTTCGAAAACAAATAAATAAATAAATTTTGAGCATATGGTAATGTTATAATTAGTACTGTTTTGTACATATCTATAAATCAATATATTTTCCCATCGAGAACTGATAACGTCATTAAAAAAAGTAATAATAAATCTTACTGAAACAAAAGCTCAAACCAGTATCAGCGATTTATTGTGCCTACGAAGATAGGAAATTACACCTATTTTGGACAACTAACTTTATCAAAAGTTTTAAGAACCATTTTTTAATTTCAAATTGCGTTCAATTTTTAAAAAATAATAGAGGGTAATAAATTTTAAAGGAGAACGTAGATCAGATTAACAAAATGGCAATAATGAAACCGTGAAGCAAGCGAACAACCTGCACACAAAATTAATTCACTTTCCAGAAGTAAGGAAACTTCTCAATCGAGAAAGTTAAAAAACTGGTAACACAAGTAGACATAAAAAGCAGAAGATGGCTTTATAAAATATGTATCCTTTGCGTTCTCGGTAGTTAATGGTAATGGCTACCGGAGCAAGCGGGCAGTTTAGCGAATAAAACTGTCTTGTTGGTCACATGATTCAGTATATAACTGTTCGCTTTTGTAAATGAAATAATATTTCCTTTGCAATCTCATCTGTTTTTGATTTCTTAGTTGAAATTATTAATTAAAAAGTACGATGATAAAAAAGTAATTGCAGCCGAATAATCGTTACGTCTAGACTGAAATAAATTGTGGCGTGGTCATGGTCACGCAAACGGACATTTCTTTTTCATAGTCTCGTACATAACTGTCTGTAGTTAATTTTTTCGGACAACCACGTCAAAGTTGAACAACTTCGCGGTTCGATAATCGGTGGCTTTACTTTCAGTCTTTCCATCCTTGCATCCTTCCACTTGTCCCCGACGTCCCCTAACAACATTTTTCTCTATCTTCTATCACAAAGAAGCCGGAATTTCTCAACAACAACACCAGAACACTACAAATAAAAACTCTGACCCCGCTCAAAATTACGCAATTCACGTGATCTCCAATCTTTCGATCATTCGCATCGCGAATTACTATCAGAAACCGCCACAACTTCCCATCAATGCGGATATCTTAAGTCGTGTTGCGTACTTAACAGTCATTCGTAAATATTTACGTTTACTACGACGAGGAACTTATAAACACTTTGATCCAGAGAATTCGGAAATATCGCGGATTTGTCTTTGTTGTCTGGTAGTCCACGTTTGCAAACGCCCGACCCCAATTACTCGATCATACCGCAAACATCTGTCTTCGTAAGCGCAAATTCCGCGAATAATTCGCAGGATTCCGTTGAATGTTATCGAAAAAACTGACGCACGAGCCCCAAAATACCGATAACGATTTATTTGTAAAGGAGCCATAAACTCCTCTGTTTACGTGGACTTGAAATCGGCTTTGCTTATGCGTTTAAATTATGGCGGGCCAAAATTTCGAATACGCCGAACTTCGGCGAACTTAAACAATCAATAACACGCCAGGCAACAAACTACACAGAGGGGTTATTTATTTAAATTTCGCACAACCGGATAAATCCGGAAACCGTTTTAAAAAACGATCCGTTTGTGCAATTTATTAGTTGCTATGAACCACCGCCGAAGTCGCCTTGGCTTTAAAAAAAATTAGCGTACCTTTCTGTTGAGGAAGACGCGACGCATGTTCATATTCGGTTGGGCGGGCATCGTTATTTTATTCACAACCATGCTGAATATTCACTTGCACTATTTCACACAAAAGCAACACATAACAAAAATTTTGTCAACAGACGAGAACGCGGTTATCGTGCTCAACTTTCATGCGGACCGAGCCGGAATACGAGCTTGCACGAAACGCTTGCGTTGCTTACTAAAGTGACTTAAGTCGGTTAGGTCGGTGTTGCCCAGTATTTAAATCCCCCTCTGCTCTACGTTTATAATAGCCGATGTTCTGGGAAACGAGATGTGCAAAGACACTGAACTGGCTTACGCAGTGTTTGGATTATTTTTGCGTAAAGTCCATCGGTTTTTGGGTTGAAAAGTGGGATTGTTGGCTTGGAGTTTCCGGGGAAAAGCACAATGCATTTTCACAATTTCCGCAGATACGGGGTCATTACACACTGTATCTTATTTGCATAGTGATTAATGGGAGTTGCGAGGAAGGAAAACGCAAATAGAGACCGACGAGAAAAACCGGTGTTAATTTCGGGTGACACTGCCAAAAGTTCGGTAAATTCGTGTTGACGGGCCAATTCAAATGAATTGCCCACCACCGAGTTCTGTGATAGATTTATTCAACCTAATAAGAATTTTACATTTGTTGGAAACACGAATGCACCTTGTATGCGTGTCACACCTGCCAGACAGCTCTTGCTGAATTTTCAATACAAAAAATGCAAATTTGACTTTCGTTGTTAGCATATGGTTAGATTTTTTTTGTACAGTTGTTAGAAAAGTGATTTTTCATGTTGCGGGTTGTTTCAGAAAATACTTTTTTTAATAGTGGCCCATTTTTCGCAGTAATTATTTTCTCCACAGCTGCAAAATTATGCCTGCTCTTAACTTGTTTCTAAATGATTTTGTGGAATATTTTACTCACCGTTAAGTGGCAATAACATTTTCAAAAGTTCTAAAAATCTAAACAACGGAATGCATTTTCAAAGTGATAAATACCACCACGATATTTTAAAACCATAAAACTACATACCAGTGTTTTTTTTTTTTTTAAACAGAAAATGGATTTCATTGGTCGAAGTATTTAATGTTTGTAACTTTTGATTTAAGAATGCGTTTCGCCAAATTCCCCAACCTAACCTATCTACGAAGTTTTAATCAGTGATAAGCTTTTGAAATTTTTGTCAAGTCTTCAGCTACCTAGTATATTTTTTGTAAAACTGAAAACTTAACTGAATGGATATGAAAGTGTACTTAACTAGCCGATGTAAACTAAATGTGGTGGCTCTTGTTTTACAATATATTTCGCTACTTGTTATTCAGTACGTTCCACAAATAACCCTCGACCTTGTGAGTTTTAATCAGTCAAACTTTTATAAAGTGGTCCCCGTAGATAAAAACCCTCGAGTTCTCGAATTTTATCTTTTCTGGATCTTTTAGCTGTGTTATAATATTAATTTGGAAATGTAACTTCCAGTTATGTTAGTTTTGTGATTCATTATTATATAATAACACTAATTTATTTTTGGTAAGAGCAATTCGCACGCATCAGGTGAACACAAGGATGATTCATACAACACAGAAACTGGAACAGTGAATTTGTGACCAATTTTCATTTGAAATGTGTTTGATTTGCATGTTTCAGAGTGGTCTTAAAAATCTTTCGATGAGTGGAACAATTAATTAAAGACAAAACGTAAAATAATAAATTATTCTTTTTCAAAGTTTGTATTTACATCTCAAACACTTTTGCATTTTAGCGTTGGCGTGTCCCATAAATATTTAATTTGGAAGTTTCTACATTTGACAACACTATTATATTCATTGAATGTATAACTGCCGCGATCTAAAGAAACTGTTTGAAGCGTAAATCTTAGTCAATTAACTATTTGACAACAATTAAGTAAGTGACTGACAGGAATTCAGTGCGTATTAATACTGAGTAACAATTATTTACGAAAAGTTTTCTTATTGGTCCGTGTTAAATGAGTGATGTTTTTTGCCAAGCAATCAAAGTGGATAATAATTGCGCATCCGATATAGTTAGTTGATATTATATCTAACTATCTAACAATGAGAATCTAATTAATGCGTAACTACAATTATTGATAAATTTTTTTATCTCGAAAAGTACAGTAATCGGAATTTGGACACCATTTTACTTTAATTTTATATATTACATTGGAATAATTTCCCAAATAGTTTGATTGTGAAACC